GTGATAAGATTGTTTTCGACAGACCCAGCGGCGCCGCGAGACAGAGAGTCGGGATGGATGCCGCCCGGATGTAGTCCTGGGCCACCGAAAACTGGACCGCCGACGTGGGGGTTCTGCTGTTGTTGTTGCTGCTGTTGTTGCAGTAAATTCTGTTGCTGTTGTTGTTGTTGTTCGATAGCCAGACGTGCCTTCACCTGACTCTCCTCCTCTTCCATTCGCCTTTTAATGAGCTGCGCCTTCCTCTCATAGACATCACGTTCGTTGGCGGGCATTTGGCGCCACTGTAACAGAGAGGTCGAAAAGCCACGAAAATAAACAGACCAAACACCGAATCTTTACGAGCAGTTGAACGTGGAAAATGGGTCAGGATTGTTTTCTACTGAATTTAATCATATACATAATTCAAAAGGGGGAAATTACTTTAAAAAATACCGTTGTGCAAGCAAGCACAGAAGGAAACATTCTGTTCACCAAGGAGGAAGATATATTGATTATCTGCAGCTTAAAGACGGAGAACCCAGTGTCAATAGTGACAGAAATTTCCTGTGAGCGAGTTTAGGGCATTTTGTTCACAATGAAAATACAAAACAAGCATATGCAGGAGTACCTATCGGCATCAAAAAATTTTGAGACAGCCAACCCCACTACCTCATAAAATGAATAACAACATGTGGGTATGCAACAGGTGCAATTCTGTTGGCTTTTCCATTCCACGGAAATGAAATCCACCTCAGTAAGGGTGCAAATACGAAGAGCCCAGTTTCAGGTACGAAGGCAATACCATTTAGCAAGATTCTTTAAAAGTAAATAAAATACTTTTAAGAGTTCACTCAGCTGGAGGTGGCAAAAGTAGACGAAAGGCCCATCGTTGACGGGGCACATTTCAGGAAGGAAAATGCAGGGAACCTGGCTTCAACTCCCGGTTAGATGAGAGTCTCTGTCCTAGGTGTACCCGGTGGTCTGGGAATGTGTGGAAAACTGCTAGGGGGAGGCATGTGTACAGGAATTGGTGTAAAAAGAAAGCACAAACTTACCAAAAGACCAACTTCGCGTGAAATTTCTCCAAACGGTGCGTCTGGGCGTTCATGCAGCAACTTCTTACGCACCTCGCCCGCGTATATCACATAGCCCGATGGTGGCTTGCGTAACTTCCGCTAAGCAGGAAAAAATGACGGGTTTTAGTATATGAGATGATAAAATTCTTGTGAGGAATACACCACAAAAAGTTAAGTAAAATACTCCTATATTCGTTCAACAACCTAAATTAGCTCATACTGCGTCTTTTAGGAAGCTATTGCGTAAAAAACTAATCAGTCATTCACACATTTAGTAGGACGTGATTAACAGTTTAAGCAGATTTCGTAAGTGGAGGTTGAAGCGGACGCTGCGATGGAATGTCGTGGTTCACAAGGGTACACTCATCCAAGAAAAACCCGGTATGCGATATCAGAGAAAACGGTGAATACAATGCGCGGATAGAAGCACGAATTCCTGACAAGGATCGAAACCCGTCGGCAGTGCTTTAAGCCCTCCAGAACTACGATTTCATCAGGCGACCGGGACATGAAGAAGTTGGCAATGCGAGGATTGAGTTGTCAAGGCCACCGATATAGATAGCAAGGATACACGTTCACAATCTCACGTTGGGCAAGTATGTCTTTGATTCAAATGGAGTAACACTTGGTGTCAGAACTATTTGACTCGTATAGTTCAAACTTGCCTTAGTGCATATATTTTACGCTACAAGTACAATGGGGCCTCGGCTGACGAGCAGCTACATCTACGAACATTTCAGTGAACGAGCGAGCCACTAGTAGAACATTTGTTTCGCTTGACGAGCTTCCTCTCATTTAACGAGTTGTCAGTGCGTGTGTGTCTGTGTGCTGTGTCCGCCGTTAAGTCTTGCTCCCAAGACGTGAGTCCTCGATCGCCTACAGCCAATCAGTGAACGGATGCAGTTTGATTGTTTAGCAAAACGTACGTTTCGTATGACGAGCTCGGTGTTGGAACGGATTAAACCCGCTAAACGAGGTTTTACTATATTTGGACTCATCGCATTGCATTCTACTGATGACGATTGGTGCACTTTATCTTACCAGAGGAATTGAGGTGGGCGTTTCTTCCACACTGAGTCCGATAATGTACTGTGGTAACGGGAAGGCAATGTATAAGCTGTTATTTGCGATCCATTCCTGTTTACGTTTGTTGACCAATCACCCCTCACTTGTTTGTGAACGAGAAAGCTAAGATTGCACACAGACTATTCTTAGATTCTAAAGCTAATATTGGGAGTGCTAGATAACGGAATGTGCGTACAGCAGTCCTTTCAGTGGCTATAGCAAATTTGTCAGCATAAAGGTGCAAAAAGCACCTTTTTTCACATTATCGGAAGGCTCGATGCAACAGTTCTTGCAAGAAGGTCAAGAATCCTTACTGGGTGCGCAGAACTTGTCGAATGATAAAACTGATAAAAAAAGCTTGGAATGCGCATTTACTCAGTAATTCGTGGGATTAAATGCAGTCTAATCGCAGGTCGACTTTGTCTGAATTGAAAGCAGACTACCCAAGTCATGGCAGAGTTGCAGGTTAGCGGTAGAGGAAAGGG